TACTGGCGGGTGCTTCCGCCAAAGAATTTTTATGAATGCCAGCGTCCTTGACACCATTATGCCCAGAAACTGGAAGGCCAACTTCATTGGTGGAATTCCCGGTTCCCGTGTGTGGCTCATCACCATTACTGGCGTCGTCGTTATCAAACCACGACGGAACTGTGGACTTTTCATCCTTCTTTTCTGATTTCTCCATTTCTTTTTCCCCCGACGTCGCTGATTCTAATTCGCCTTCATCCTTTACTGTCGATGCCGTATCATTCTTGACATCAGTCAGGCTGGGCTGCGCGAGTTTCTCACTTAAGGCATGCAAATCCTCAGAGACAGATGTGTGATCTGGCGCCGGTCCCGCTGCACCAGGCGTGGATGTTACAGAACTGCGTTGCTCCGTTGCCGGTGTTTCAACGCTCAGTCGTGTCTCTCCTACACGACGCTTAAGTTCCTCTAAGGCTTTATCAACAGAACTTTGCGTGTGTTCACACGATGTATTGGAACTCAGCAGCCCGGTACCTTCTGACATTCTCGAGGGTTCTTCGATCAAAGTCGACTCCCCCTGCGCTTCCTTTTCCTGAACAGTCAGTGACTCATTTGCGCTGGCGAAGTGACGCTTCTGCATTGAAGGCTTTTTAGGGTCGTCTGCAGGGCCGACGGCATTTAAATCCGAGTCGGCACTCACTTCAGCTTCCCCATGTGCTTTTTGCTCATTGACCTTTGCTGTTAATTCCTCCACCCGCTTTCGCAACCGATTGATGCGCTTCAAAAGGCCTGCTCTCTCATTTTTTGCTTCCCTCTTACTGGCTTCACTAGAGCCGTGAATTGCGTTGGTGGACGACTTTGACCTCATGCGGCGCAGCTGCCCCCGCAGTTGCTGAATGTGCTGTGCCTTCCTTTGGTTCTCTTCAACTAGTTTACGCACATCAGGGTCATTGCTCACTTCCTGTGTCTTCTCCTTGTTATTCGCCCGCTCCAACTGTTCCTCCAACTTTTTCGCACGAAACTCAGCATCTCCATACATCTTCACCGCCTCAAATGCATCACGCCTAGCCCTTTCAAGGGAACGCTGTGTCAGCACGGATTCGGCCTTTATCTCTTCTCTAAGTCGTCTGCACGCCAAATCGGAGGCATGCTGCGCCTCGCTGTTAATAAGAACCTTCTCATTCTGGCGAATCACCAAAGATAGTGCCCGCTTTTCTTGCAAGAGCCTTGCTATATCGGCCTTGCAATCCTCAATAAGAGAATAATAGACGTGTAGTTGTTTGTTTGCGGCAAGCTTCCTCCGAAGCTCGTTGCGCAAAGAGATCAATTTTTCCCGCTCCCCGCGCAACTCTTGGCGATTCTGCTCACGGCGCATTGAAGTTTCGACCGCCATGGTTGATTTTTGGAGCCGCCGGTACTCATGCGTGGACCTTTTGTTGTCAACTTTTTTATTCCTTTGATGTCCGTTGGAATATTTCCCTGCACGCCCATTTTCAAACAGCCTCATGCGAAGTTCGTCATTTTTCGCCAGAAGGTTAGAGAGTTCCTCCGTTGTGTTCACAGTAATTGGTTCACCACCGGAATCAACCCCGTTTATTTCCTTTTGAGTTTTTTGGGGTGACGCATGTGAATTTCCCGCTGGTACTTGGGACTCTCCCCCTTGGGGTGTATACTTTCTCTTTTTCAGGCGCTGGATCATGCTTTCCATCCCTCCCGTGGTGCTCCTGGGGGTGGTGTCGTCCCCGTATATGGTTGATAGAGTCGAGATCGATTTAAAGACTTCTTTGCCGCGGCTCTTTTTCCTTTTTGAAGTTTTACGTGCATTCCCACTGCTGCCCGTAACCTTCTTTTTGTTGTTCACTCGGCTACCCCTGGAGTTCACTACGTGCTCGTCGCTTGTCTTCCTGTCCTGACTGACAGGCGCGGCTTCAGCGTTGGCATTTCCTTCCTCCCTGTTGGTGCTGTCGCCACGGAGACTTCCACCCTTGCGCCTGCCACTACTTTTCTCGCTTCCGCTCTTCGAAGTAGTAGACGTGAGGGTGGACGCCTTGGATGACAAACTTTCAAAGCTCTCCCCGTATGTTTCGGATGCATCATCCCTCCCCTCTTTCTTCACGTCCTCGTTTAAGATCTCCTGATTGTCACTGCTGGCAGAACAATCGGACAGCTCAGAAAGCATCGTCCTCGTCCCTTTCCGAGCGGTTTACAGCAAAACTCCTGCAGTCTGCTACAAATGGCGCACACACACTCCCTCTTTGCAACACCACCAAAACAAGACAAGGCAAAAGAAAAATACGGAGAGGGAAGAAAACTCATAGAGCACACGCCGCCTCCAAAAGGTTGCACCACAAGAAGACAAAAAAAAAAGGGCTGAGCATATCAAAAACAATAAAGAGGCACAAACACGCACACAGACAAAGAAAAGAGACATCCACATCCTCGGCAATGATGCCATTGCAATTTTTTGCTCTCTACATCATAGAAAAAGAAGTACATGCACACAATGCGTAAATCGCCAGCCCCAACAACGTGACGCAGAAGTAAATCCGTGTAAAAACTCAAATGGGCTTCACTCGTCATTCATATTTCTTTGTATTCCCCCCGCCTTCTCTCTTCCTTTTTTCCCCCCTGTTTGTTTCCCAATCAAAAAAAAAAAAAAAGACTCATTTCACATCCAGAATGCGTCGCAATTCCGACTTCTGCTCTAGTGTTAGGAAACCGGGAAACTTTGTGTCACACTCCACGATGAGATCACCACGGGGGTTGGAAAGATCCTCATTGCGCGGTAGTCCCTGGCCCGCAACCCGACGGCGGTACTTGGGATGCACAATCTCATCAATAAGAACCGTGATGTCGACCCCTTCCATTGTCTTTACAGTAAGCGTGACACCACAAAGTGCCTCACGAAGTGTGATTGGCATCACAACAACAAGATCATCTTCCTCGCGCCGAAAACGGTCATGAGGCAGCAGCTCCAGCACCACCACAACATCCCCACGCGCAAATCCTTCCTTCCAGTTGCCCTTTCCGTCTACAACAAACCTGTCACCGGCGTGGGCACCCTTGGGCACACGAAGATCAAAACTCTCCTCCGTGATGATCTCTTGCCCCTGACGCAAGTGGTGGGACTGCCACGTGGCGCGACGCATCGCACCATAGAACACGTCCTCTAGCGACACGGACAATGAGACCTCAATGGGTGGGACTTTTACAAGAGTTTTGGGAATAACGGCACTGGTACTGAAGAAATTGTGTTGGTTGTTGCGTAGCCCACTGATCTCTCCAATAACCTGAAACGGATTATCCACTCCAAAAAAAGAACGAAACACTTCATATGGATCAATAGCATCGAGGTCAATACCTCCAGGAACCCCTTGATTTCCTGTCCCACCGTGTCGAACGCCCTCTTCACCGTACATGTCGTAGATGCCCCGTGCCTTGGGATTTGATAGCACCACGTATGCCTGCGACACGTGTTTGAACTGCTTCTCAAGGGCCTTTGGGTCAGGATGGTTAGGGTTGCACTGTGGGTTGAACGCCATGGATTGGCGGCGATACGCCTTTGCGATGGCATCATCCTCCGCCTCATGGTGGATGCCCAGCACATCGTACAGATTCGACATGATTTCCTTTTGTCGCGTTTCTCTTTATTCTTCTTTTTTTTTTTCCTCCTTCCTTCTCTCCGTGTTTGCTTGCAAGATACGCCCCTCTCCCCCGTGTTCTACTTTCCCGGCCTCAGGAATGGACACCGTCCAGAGCTCTTCCCAATGCCACACGCAAAAATAATAATAATAATAAATAAATAAATAAAAGATACGAACAAACAAGAAAGAACGCAAAGAAGGAGAAGCGGAAGCCGCAAGCGGGGAGCGTGGCAGCCCCCATCCTTCGCAGAAATTTAGTTTTACCACCCCATCCCGGCCAACATACATCCAACCGCCAAGTGAGAACAAAAAGTAACAAAAATAAAAATAAAATAAAATAAAAAAACAAGTGGATGAAAATGCGTGTTGCTCCTCCCCACACCTTTTCATTGAGCAAATTATGTTCCCAAATTCCCTTTCCTTCTTTCTCTCTCTCTCTCCCAGTACACACACCCATTTTTGTTTCCTTTCGCTCGTGTGCCTCAATGAAGTACAATCGTCACGTCCAAACGTCATTCTCGGCTGTGAGTGACGCATCTTCTTGTCACCACCGTGTCGGGAGAGTTAAAACCATCCTCTCGCCGCTCAAATCGTGTTGGCAATATGGTGCGTTCCGAATTCCAAACATTGTGCTGCCACGCAACTGGTCGTGAAGAAGGAGTGAAAGCCTGCACACCCCGTGAAAACACTGTCAGTTGAACATGCTTCCCCGTCTTCTGAATGTCATCCGCAGAAAATGCCCGGATTGGGCCGAAACTCAAAAACCCCGGCGTTTTCTTCCGTAAATTCCTCGAAGCCGATGGCATTGGGCGAAGTGCCTCTGGTGTTTGGTAAAGACTGTTCGGGGACGTCAATCTCGAGCAAAATCTCGAGCAAATTTGCGACCTCTTAGCCGCCCGCTAACGAGGTAGTGGATTTCCTGCGACGTCGACACAACTCATTTTACCTGAAGAGAAGGTTAAACACAGCGAATCACGGTCTCTCGCATATTTCGCACCATTCAACGGAACTTTCAGTAAACAAGCGGCGCAACTCCGTCCATTCTCTAAACGCGGTGAAACCATCCTGCGACTGGCGTCCGCATCAAACACGAGACATTTCGCTTTCGGCGTGCGGAGTCTTTTGCGGTCAGGCAGATGGCGCCGAGTCTCCGGCTCAGGTGATCGCTCGGTTGAAAGTCCACCCGAGCCAAAGCAGCAAAAAGGAACTTGCGAGATCACATCCCGGCCCTGCGCGGCCGCGGAGAAAGGCCGCATGAATCATCTCCTGCTGCGTGATCCTCTCAAGTTCCTCTCGGCGCGCGTTTAGCAACTCGGCCTCTCGAGAATTTACCGAAAACGCCACGAGTAAATTCCGCATGGCGCAGAGGTACCGGTCACGTCAGCTGGACGTAAAAAGGGAGGGGGCACGGCGCAAAAATGCCTGAAACTTTTCGCATGGATTTAATACATCTCCATTCTCAGTCAGCTGCTGAATCTCAAGTAAAGCCCTATCAAATGTTTCCACTCCACTGCCAGTTAGACTTTCGGCAAGGGTACAGAAATCCTTTACGTCTTCAAAAAAAGTCACGTAAAAAGCCTCCCCCAGAAGCCGATGCATGGCGGCCTGGATAGCGGAGTCCGTCTCCCGCTGCGCATCCATCAGTACACCAGGCACATTGATCCCATCCAATGTTTTCCGTGTAATGGCATCTGAGACACCATAAAGCGAAGAGAACAACTTTTTCCGCAGAGAAAACAGCTGCGGCAGTGAAGCCACCTTCCATGCCTGCATCTCCGCCGAGGACCAGTGAGGCGCATGCTCCGACACGAGTGATGCTGGGAACTCCTCCTGAACATGCGAGACAGCACAAACTCCATGATGGCTCGTGATTGCATTCTGCGCAGGCAAAGTGATGCGGCAAGAACCCGGTCGTGCCATCAAGTAAGCCTTACTGGACATGTCTCGCGCCTCAGAGAGCTCCTTGCAAAGATCATCCAACAGCCCCCGCACCTCCTGCGGCTTCTCATTTTGAGCAATTAGTTTTTCCACAAGGTATGCAACGCCCGCACCTTCCCTCAAATCAAAAGAAAAAGAATTCTTCACGATTTCTTCCTGACGCAGTGACCGGAAAGTGGGAAATGCAAGGTCCTTCTCCCATCTAACATTGGGAGCCGCATCGTCTTCGTCCTTCTGGACGCTGGCTGGCCAAAGCCTCCGTGCAACCGTCACAACCCCATTAACCTCCTCGTTATCCATCAATGAACCGGCAACGCCACGCACACAACGCAAGAAGCCTTTTGTATACGTATATGCATATGAAATGGGGAAGATATAAAATAAAGAGAGAAAAAAAAAACAGAAAAAAAAATAAAGGCCTCGCAGTTTGTTTGTGTGTGTTTTTTGTTGTTGTTGTTGTTGTCTGTTTGTTTGTTTGTTTTTTAAGCCCATTCTTTGCGTGTAGTTTTATCCTCCCGTTGTTTTTGTTGTTTTCCTTTGGCTCCCTTCCTGCTCTTTACCCCTCTTTGCCGGCGCCCTACCCACAGTGAGAAAAAAAGAAAAAAAAAAAAAAAAAAGGTTCCATCCGCAACGCGACACACGGCACAGCGCCATTTAATAAGAGCATAAATTAACTGAAATAAAATGATAGGACGCATGATGGGACAACTGTTAACAGTATCATGGAAATCGCACGCACTTCTCACAACTCCGTATAAAAGTAAATAGAAATAAAAAGAGTTAAGTAGAATAAGACAAAACTCGAAGACGATGCATCACAACCTTCACGCAAATCAAGTACTGCGGCCATGTGTAGTTTCATTCTCATTCAATTTAATTTGTTTTTCTCTCCTCTTCTTTCATATTATGATTGACGTTCCAAGGTAAACATTCTCCTCAAGTGAGCAGCCTCCTTGTTACTTCTTTTTATTTTTTTTTTATTTTTTTTTTTTTTTTCATTCCTCCTTCCAGTTCTAAACTCCCTTTTATTTATTTTTTTTTTTTTTTTTCTCTTTTCTTTCATTTACTGTCCAAAAGGCGGCATTTGTTTGCATGCGTGTACATGCCGCTGGGCGCCGCAAATTGATGGTAAACAGTCACCCATCGTAAATTTGTAATAAAAGAAAAGAAAAGAAAAAAAAAAAAAAAAAAAAAAAAAAAGAGAGAAAAGAAAAAAGAAGAAAAGAAGAAAAAAATAAACGCACAGAAATTTCAAATTCTCCAAAAATAAACTATTGCGATTTTAATTTCCCCCGTCGGTCTGGGTGACTCTCCCGCAGGTCCGTGATGACTTGCCACACGTGATCCCGCAGCTCCTCCGCCGTCCTAAACGTCGACGCATCGACGGGGTCCCCGCATGAAAAGTATGCGGTGGAAGAATCCATCAACACGGAGCCGAGAGGCCAGCACTTATCCGTTCCGCTAATGGCAATCGGGACAATCGTCGCGCCCTCCTCCACTGCCAGCTTAAAGAAGCCAAGGCGAAATGGCAGCAGCCCCCCTTCGGGATCTTTGCTGCGTAATCCCTCAGGAAACACGGCAATGGGGCGTCCCCGACACAACTTCCGGCGCGCCTCCTCCATCATAACCCCGACAGTCCCTTTAACCGTCTCTAGTCCCTCCCGCTTGTTTTTAAAGCACACCTTCAGATCGTTGGCGTTGCTCAAGCACCAGCCACCAAACGGAACACGAAAGAGTCCACTTTTCGCAATCCACGCAGCGTCAAAAGGGAGAAGCACCCTAACCATCAGAAACGGATCCGCAGCGCTTAAATGGTTCATCATAATCAACACTTTTTTCCCCTTCACATTTGGAAAGGGCTTCAGAATTTGGCTCCTCCAAAAGGGATTCAGGAAGTCGGTGGAAAAAAAGTTTGCGAAACGAAAAATAAAACCACAGCAATCCTGCCTCTTCTCGCGGCCCATAAACGGGTACGTAAAGAAAATAATTATTAACTGCAAGATCCATGCTATGATCCAATGTACAGCCAGTAAAAGGATGACGTAGGCCGTCACAATGGAACGGATTACTGTATGATAACTCATAATGCACACCCCTTGCCTCTACCTACACGCTTATTACCCTTCTATTCTTATTGGCTCGCTTTACTTAACCCTGCGCTAGGTTCCGTCGCCTATTCTCCTCACTATTAAGATGGTGATGATGATGAAGACGATAATAATAGTAAATTTCTGATTAGGCGTGTAGTACCCCACACCTTCCTTCCTTCCTTGCGCTGTCCCGCACTGAGCATGTGACGGGAACGCAAAATCCAAAAAAAAAAAAAAAAAAAAATGAAACGCCGCATGTTCAAAAATACCGCACGGGCAGGCAGAGCGCGGAGGCCGTGTAAGCTTTATACCCCCCACACACAGCAATTCATAATTATGCGAACAGCAAAAACATCGCGCCTCACTACGAAAAAAAAAATAGCAGGATCTTGTAAAAAAAAAAAAAAAAAAGGAAAAAATGAGCAATTGTGTGAAACAAAAGAATCAAATATATATATATATATATATAAACAGTGCAGAGTCAATGGAGCAAAATTTCTTCAAAGAATTTCGTACCCACCGCCTCCTGGACGAACCGTGCGGTACGCAAGATGTGTCGGGACACTTCCAAAGAGCCGCTCATTATCGCCCATGCATTGGCTGCCCGCCACGCCGCGCAGACCAATGTGGTTAACGCCGGACCAAGAGGCGGATCTTTGTTATCAAATATGGCCAAAGTCTCAAATATCTCGATTGCTGTTGTAGATAAATCCGTCGCCAACTCGGATTTTGTTGACACAACGTGACAGCTGGCCTCTATCCACCTCTGCAATTGATGCGTCGCCTCCAGTGAAAGGGCAAGACACGACTCAACAAACGCAGGATCCTTTCCATAATGCTCTGTCTGACAAAAGGGAAACGAGAGAAACCTGCCTTGCAACGCACGTGTCATAAGTCGCAGGGCAGACAAGCTGATATGCACGCACGGAATGGAGCACGGCATCCAGTCAAAACCAGCACTCCAATTCAAAAGGCGACGCACTGCGTAAAGATGCTCACCCTTCGCAGGGGCCGCAACACCCAGCTCCAAAAGATGCACGGCCACACCTGCGATATCAGACTCTTCTTGGCTCCTTTTCCTCGCTTCATCCTTGCCACTGCAGCTCGAACGGTAAGTCTCCAGCCCCTCCAACGCAAATTCTAGTGCTGCCTCCCCAATAACAATCATACCACTACGAAGTGCCATGCCGGACGAAAGAGCCAAAAGGTGAAAACGCTGAATTAGATCCGTCACTGCCGGGATGGTGACTATAGAAAACATAAATAGAGCCCTTGTCTCGTCATGGTTTTTTCCCTCGGCGCATCCGGCAGCAAAGCGACCCGCCAACCCCAGTGCCCGATTGACGGAAATAATTTTAATGGAATCAAAGCGGGAGAGATGGTGGCGTGCATCACACATAAGTTGGAGAGCGTCCTCCAGAGATCCTACTCTCTTCAACAGCAAAAGGAAGACCTTCTCCACCACCTTCGTCCCCTCCTGCAGCTCGTCAAAGGAGACCACGTTAATAAGATCGTCGTGAAATATCTTACACAAACAAAACACGGTCTTCATGGCAAAGGGAGAAAATGAACTGCCGGCGCCCAATGCCCCTGAAACGAATTGGCGAAGAAACACAAACATCAACCGACGTCGATCTCCCGAAGCCAACTGTTGCAAGAGGGTTACCACATGTTCGGATTCCAGGAGGAGCAAAGGGTTCACAACTGAGAAAAGAGCGGATAGCATGCCAAACAAACTGGCTTTAATAGCCTCCAACGATTTCTCATTCTCCAACATTTTAACATCGCCAATAATGTCCCGAACAAGACCAAGAAAAACATTGACCTGTTTGAACCCCACATGATTCGCACAAAATTGCATCATCGCACCGCATACGCCTATTAACTCACCCACTAACCCTTGTTTCGGAGCGGGTGGCGCCACGCCTTCTGTGTCCACGCTAGACCGTCTGCACCTTTCCTCCTCGACATAGTCCCATGCAGCCTTCAAAAAAGCAAGACGTTGCGCTCTCGCTAACGGGACTTCCGACAAATCCGCCAAAGACAAACACAACGCCTCCATAAGTTTCAGTCGCGAAACCAATCGTGACGGAAACGAGCGAAAAGTAATAGAAAGAAGCTCCTCTACACTGTAGCACGAGAGCAACACCGCCGCTGGGAAGGCACGCCAGACGCACAGCAACAGACATGCCGGCGAGTTCAAATTTTCTACAATGATGGAAACAACATTCCTCAATAACGGTTGATAATTCGGCCAATTGGCATCGCCGTAAAGTAAAATGGTGTCCATTTGCCACTGCAGTGCGGGAATAAATAAGTCCAAGTAATCCATTCTCTCCATATTGTGCTTGTTCTGAAGTTTCTCTAAAAGCGCAGGGTCAAGATGTTCAAGTGCCTCAAGGGTGTCTATGACTGCTTGATCCAGCCCCGATTTCGTCGCCCAACCGGGCCTTACAAGGGCAACCATCGCCCGAGTACATAAGTACCAGCGAAGGTGGGCCGCAACAAGCGGATCCGCAATGCCGCGAATCTGCATCGCAAGACGACGTATGACTTCCTCTGATACAACACGCGCTTTCTTTGCCATGAAACGAAAGCAGTTAAGAAGTGAAAGCTCAATACATACCCGTGGAATAAGTTCGCAAATCGAACTAATCTTTAGAAACCAATTGTAGCACGCCTCCACTGACTCGGATGGGATCAAGTCATCCGCTGCATCAATACCCTTCTGTAGCAAGACAGAGACCAAATAACTCTTCTCTGCAGCAGTGCCCTGAATCCGCTGTGTGACAAGATTGCCAAACGTGTCCAACACCTGTGCTACCAAGACGTAAACGGATGGGTAGCAACTTGGCATCGCAACCTTTGAGAGGAGTTTTGCCACTCTAATCGCAATACGCAGACTCTCAACCTTCTCTCCACTCGACCATGCGCTCTTTAACTTCTGATGGAATTTCTCCACAAAAAAAAAAAGTTGCAGCTGTGGCCCATATTGCGTAGCATCAATCAAAGAATTTGCTTCACCTCCCTCTTTCTCGTGGGTCTGGTAGAGACAATAAGCAGGATGTGATTGGGTACATTCTAATTTATCAGCCTGCATATCTGCCTTCAACTCATCCGAAAATACCGCCTCATCCTCCTCGACCTCGTCGGAAATGATAAGGGAGTGAATAGGAAGCTCTATAGAGTAAGTAGCAAGCACCTCTTTGAGTACCGCGTCACTCTGAAGTACCTGTCGACGTGTAATTTTGTTGGAAATGTACTTTTCACTGAACATACTAGTCGCCACTTTTTCGGTATTTTCAGGGATATCGGCATCTTGAAATGGTTGTATCTGCCGCTTCTGGTACTTTGCCGTAAGCCCTTGAAGTGTCACCACATCATTAAGCGGATGCACAGTCGTAAAATGACGTTCCGTATGGGTAATGGTCCCACCCCCGCGGCTTTCGTCAAGTGCGTCTTCCATTCGTATATCTTTTAGTGCCCCGCTTAGAGCAGGAACCGCCAACACAGGACTGAAATGCGTCGGGGTAAAAGAATCACCATTCAAAAAAAGCAAAAAAAAAAAAAAGTTTGAAAAAAGATCTATAAAAAGATCCCACTGTACCTTTGTAAATTCCAAAAAAAAAAGATAAATAAATAAATAAATAACACCCACACACAAATACAACAATAAATAAATATATATATATATATATATAAGAAAAAAAAAAAAAAAATTGTCGCGTCAAAAATTTTAATTTGTATAAAGTAAAAATGACATGGTATACTTTATGGTTTAATAATTTTCACATATGGCAACACTGTCCTCCTCCTGTTCTTCTTCGTCATCTTCAACGACATCCGGGTTTGCTAGGAGCTCTCGTATACTCAGCCCGTATCTTCCATTTTTGGCATTTTGAACGGCCAAACGGTACTGCAACAACTCGTCAGGAACCTGACGCCGCAAGGCATTCATGCTGCATTTGGTACTGCAACCCGTACTAGGAGCAGAGAAGTTCTGATGCTCCAATGACAATTGAAAGGGTGATTGCTCCAAACCAGCACAAGATGTCCCTGAAGTTTCTGCACGTGGAAATCGAACTGGGCAACTGGTGGAACGACCTCCCCCAACAGAAATCTTAAGAGCATCACCAACCACACAATTATATATGTTGTAGCTAGAATGCCTCTTGTGAGTTCCATTTAAGCAGGGTTTGCGGACTCGTGCGTCTCTCCAAGATGCTCGCAAGTAGCATCCTTTGGCAGACTGTGAGAAGTAGGCCTGCAAAAAACCCTTGCAAGTATTGGGATTTTGGACTGGTGTTCGAACTATAACATGATCCATCGATGCGCCGTGGTCCACCATCGTGTTATCGGACGCTGTGGAAGAAAAATTTATAAATTGTACAGAACCGCGCCGGTTTCTGCACATGCTTGAGTCCTGTGAACTCACTTTTGGTGTGCCCGATAGACCGAACAGAGCCGTCAGAGGAGGCGAATGAGTTTCTTCAGCGAGCAGCGTCCGCCCTTGTACTCTTTCAGCATTTTCCGCATTGCCTTTTTCGCGTGCCTCCGACTCCAATGCCATCGAACGGTGGGCCGTCAGAAAAGTGCTGCCACCCTCGGCAACATCGTCGACCTCCTCCGGCGGGTTTTCCACGAAACCCCCGCTATTCAATTCGCCGACGGAGGCGCAGGGAAAGGATGCGCATGCAATTTCCTGCATGGTGTGGCGCTCACTGTCCACAGAGCTACCCACGGGGGTCAAATCCCCTGCGTATCGCCTGCCAACCCTCTCACTATCCGATTCTTCTTCGCAATCCATCCTTGAGCATGCACACCCACTCACTCACTCGCAAACTTTTTTAATGGATACAAGGAACAATACAACGCTATTTTGCTTAAATGATACAAATAAAATGTAATGGCAACGGTTTTCCTCCCTCCCTGTGCGGAGATTTGAAAGGGGAAACCCAGCAAGACTGCCTACCACAAAGTAGGAAAGCTAGCAAAGTGGATAGACAAAGAGAAAAAGCGTAAGAGTTAGAGGAAGAGAAAGAGAAAGAGATGCCAGGCAGTTTAAAACATTCCTCTATAGGCAAAAAAAAATCCTCTGGGCCACTGGCCAAACCCTGAGGTTATCAATCACAGAAAACAAACTAGACGGGAATGAGAAGTAAATGGAATAAGAGTGGGTTCACCACATCCTCAAACTTTACACCAAGTAAGTGTATATATGTATACATCATCCTATAGCCACAATTGTGGCCCGCTCACTCTACTCGGAATGGATATATGTATATATATTACTTAAGAAATGGCAGACTTTGGGGTCCTCCAGACAAAAGACTCCGCCGCTCCCCTTCGCAAGTTCCACCCCTTCGCCACGTCCTGAAGTGTAAAAACACGACCGCGTGACATGCCGTCTGCGGGGTTGCCTTTGTGCAGACCGCACGTAGGCAACGGATGCCTGTACTCCGCGAGAGTCCAAAAATTCATATATCCGTTGCAGCTCCCACGTCATGGCGTGTGATTTTGATCTGCCTTTATTCGCCCCTCCTTGCAGCAAAGTGTTGTCCACCCAATGTCCATAGTGGGTGGCAAAACGGCGGGAAAGGCCGTTAAGGCTAGGCGTACCGCGCGCACCAAGGCCTGCATGATAAGAAACCGCTTCCTCTTCCATTTCCCTCCGGCAATTTTAACGTCGCCGGAGTCTGGAATAAAAACGGCTCCCCATCCATGGAGCGATGCATCCGTGATGATGGCGGCCGATGCCTTTTCTGTGGTATTGATGTTTCGCTTGCAATTATGTTCTCGATCATGTGTCGCAATCTCTCGCCCAAACCAACCGCTGCCGGCAAAACGTTAGCCGGGGATGTCTCCTGCACAATTCCCCGGTTGAGTGCGGATAATCGCCGTCGCACTGCCTTGAAAAAGTAGCAGTCGCATAAACGCGTGCCAAAAATGGCCGCCGCATACAAAAAGCGTGACGTCATAACCTCCATTTCCGCGATGGTTAAAGAATTCAGCGCCGGCATGACGCGTACAGACCGGACAAACGTGTCACTCAGAGATACCGCCTGGTATGTATGATCAAACAGCACTCCCAGGAAGGTGTACTGCGCAGCGCCCGATTCGTGGTCCTTCCCCATCGTGGCGTGAAGGCCGTCCGCATTACGAAGCACTTGGGCCTCCCAGAATGTCACGTCGCTTTTCGACACTGTAATGCGTATATTATCGATCCATACTTCCATACGCACCAATGGAGGTGCAGACCAGAGGGGTGAGCCACCGTCGCCACCCTTGCTATTGCTGAAATGATAATCTGGAGAGTTTCTGGGCTGGCCTTGTATCCCATTGGGAGCCGTGTAAGCTCCACCAGCGTGCCGTCTCCACGCGGCATCGAAAGAGATCCCGAGTCTCCCGCGGTAAGGGGATTTTAAAAAGGATGCCTTTAAGTCCAGGCAGGAAGCGGCCTCAGCCATCACAGGTGGCAGAGAATGGGAAATGTGTAAAAGAGAAGCATTCGCCGCGTAAGGGTCGTCTCTGTTCTTGTCGCCTAACCACGCGATCCAACTTCGTCGTAAACCGGTGGGTTTCTCCACCACAACTGAAAAGGGCATTATCCATCCGCCTGTTGTTCTAGACGAAGCGTCCTCGATTATTCCCGCTTCTTTCATTAATCGCGCGTCAGCGACTGGAATCCTCCGTGAGCCTTCGCGCGCTTTACCGGAGGAAAGGGGACCGCCCGACGAGTCCCCAAACTTGCATGAGTCTCTGCATGGTAGCCGGGTTCAACCGGCTCTGGATCCACTCCAGATTCAATGTGGGCACTTTGACCTGCTGTAGCGGGATGGTTCGTTCATCTTGTGGAGCGAGCAGACGCGTCCTTGTCGCGCGTCTCGTAATGGTAGCAGCATGATACCAAAAAGACATGGAGAAACGTTCCTCCGCTCTCAGCCAGAGTTCCTGACCTTCCGAAGTTCCTCCCTTTACATCAATGCGACCAGCGGCAACACCCGGGTCAGCATTGTGGTGTACCTCCTCAAATATCGAACCGTATTCTGGGGAAGGTCGAACGGGTCGACGTGCTTCGCCAACTGCGAGATCACGTGTGGGCCAAAATCGCATCTCTCCACGATTGGAGCAGCGTACCGCAACGCACCGCGTTTTATGGAATGCGCCGTGGCATTTCAAGGAGCCAGAGATCGCTCCACGTGGGCAGCCGTAAGATTCATGAGCTTCTCGTTGCGCCGAAGCGTCCTGCATAACTGTATAATGTCAAACTCATCCTACCCTCGTATCCTGACAAACCGCGAGGCGCGGTGGGGATCCGCCTCGCCGTCTTCGGCGCCACGGACCTATCCAAAATTATGGTCCCGTCACGCTCCAGTGTGGAATTGTTGGGAGTCAAGGCCGCAATCTCGGGCCAACAGCTCGCCGTTATCCACGCAAGTCGAAAAACAACATGTCTCTTCTAATCGGTCCGGCTGCGGATAAATTCACCCACCGCTTCCTTCGTCAAGGGCCGCGCCTGCTTCGCCTCTTATCGCGCCGCAAGTTTTTGTATCCCCAGAATCGCCATGTCCAGCGGGGTTCGATTCATTTGCAACATGGACCGCAGCATCCTGGCGTGCCGCGGTGGGGTCGATGGCGCCACGCAGACTATTGCCGCCAAAAAGGCCGCACGGCTCTCCGCGTTGATCGGCCGTTCGTGCGTGCGGCAAAAGTTTGTAAATTGCCCCGCTAGGGACATTCTCCGCTCCCACTTTGACGGCGCACACATCTCTCGAGCCGCCTCGTTCGCGCTCCTCATATGGCTGGCCCAAGGCGGGGATGTCGGAGTTTCGTCGTACCACAGCCGAGCGTCGTTGGCGGATAAGCTCCATTGCCTTCTCGTCAAATGATTCGGGCGATTCGAAAGATCGGATGAAGCCTCTGCGGTGCGGTGCGACGCCATAGAGAATTAATTGGAGTTGGTGGAATGGATGGGGCTGCTTTCTTTCGCCCTCGTAAGCAGCCGGCAGCCCCTTCGCCGTTTTTTAATGGCCGACTGCGCTGCGAGTAATTCCTTCCGGCCGCGCTGCGCACTTTGCGTGTAGATGCATCGTGTCCATAAATACGACACAACTGACATCGCAACAATCGTTTTTGTTGGGTTACGCGCCGCTCCACAAGAGGCTCAGCCACCCTCGCGTGTTCGTCAGCCTCGTGAGCGGCCATGTGAAGGCGGTCGCGAAGTGTGGAGGGCGGGATGCTGGGGTCGGTTGTTATCGCGATCAGCATCCGGAGGGTCTGCGGTAGGGCCCTGCCAAAAATCCATGAACTGATCGGTGGGCTCCCGATCTATCGCCAGTGCGCGTCTGCACGACACAAAACCGTCGATGGCCATTTGAACCTGAAAGTCCACTTAGTGCAAATAATAACCGTATGCGCATCGGAGGTCTACGAGGACTCCGGAGATGACGTCATTCCATACACGCGGGGCCCAAGTGTCAACGTCCAATGCAAGGAAATGCAGTACCTGATCCTCTGCACCGGAGCCATCTTCGAAGGGGAAGGTGTGGGAGGGTAAAGGCATTGAGTGAGGGAGATGTGGTCGCCCAAAATTGCCCTGAGACGTTTGGGTGTTGACCCGCCGTCTCTCTCCCGTGAGATTGCGTTGGAAAAACGTGGATGCTGGCACGCCCCCAGCCATCAAACGATGCGGTTGGTGCGGCTGTGGGGTTCATCTGGCGGTCCTCTTCGAGAGGTGGGCGCCTCGCGTTGAAACGGCGTCTCCGCGTCCCGCAAGAAAACCGCCGGACACCGCAATGTGAGATCCGCGTGCCAACAAGTGATTATGCGCCTCTTCCACCTGAGAGTAAAGCTGAGCACTCCGATTCGCAACGTCCGCGACGGCACTGGCGTAGTCGGTGCTCAGTCCCTGCCCTCCAGCAATGATCAGCCCCTGCTGGACCCCCAACTCCCGGGCCGCCCACACACGATGGGCAGCAGCACTCGAACCTCGAAATTAGGTACTTGAGGCGCCCGGCGATTCGCAAAGTGCCCCGCAACGGTCGGCTCCTCCCAGTGCATGGCGATGTTTCCTGAAACCAAGCGTAAGCCTGTCATTGTTGTGG